GGTATATTCAAACCCAACCAGCCACAACAATTCCTGAACACCCACATGGCCACTCACCAAAGCCATGCCGAATTTGCTGATACCATTTCGACAGTGATGATTAACATATATACGGCTGAAGAAGACATGTTACTGTCGAAATGGTATCAGCAAATTCGGCATGGCTTTGGTGAGTGGCCATGTGGGTGTTCAGGAATTGTTGTGGCTGGTTGGGTTTGAATATACCATCGGGCTGATAGCTCAGTTGGTAGAGCGATGGGCTTGTAACCCAGAGGTCGCCGGTTCGAATCCGACTTAGTCCCAACTTTTCCTGTTCACTAAAAAATACTTTCCTACGGTGATTAACATATATATATATATATATATATATATATATATATATATATATATATATATATATATATATATATATATATATATATATATATATATATATATATATATATATATATATATATATATATATATTTATATATATATATATATATACAATACAGGCTTCTCTTTTAGGTTATTGGTAAATAGGTTATTGCTAAATATCAAGATTTTGTTGGCATCTCACTCGATTGAAAACACCCTGGTTATTTTGTGCACTGTTTGCCAGATGTAATGTTAACTGGTTTGTTACGTTGTCGGGTGGTTGTCGTTTGGTGTTTGCCCGTATTTTACGGCTTATAATGCACAATGGTGTAAAATTTAGCAGGTTGTACATACAAGGTCTGTCTGGTGGCACGTGAAGATAGTTTAAAGTTGTGACGTCGTCGTCATGTGGTTCAAAGTCATTTCAGATGGTTCTGTCAGATGGTTCTACAGGAATGTTCTGTCAGATGGTGAAGATGCATGGTGTAAGGCCCCGACCGTTGACACGAGACCGGGATGAACATCGGAATATCAGCATCACAGGCCTTGCCCGCTAGTTTACTTTTTTACTGTGCCTTTGTGAGCTATCTCCCCGTGATGATTCCTTAATCTCGTAAAGCTAGGTATGCCCGTTTGCAGGTTGGAAATTGAAATTTAAGACTTCGAAGGATTATGATCATCAATTCGTTGTCCTGTTGTGTGTGGTCAGGTAGTACATACAACATCTGCCAGGTGGCACGCGAAGATAGTCACGAAGTTGTAAGTTCGTCGGGCTGTTGTGTGGATTACAAGGTTAGTGTGCCAGATTGTGAGGATTGTTGTCAGGTCCTCTGATGGTTGTCGTATATGGGTCGATCAGGTGGTTATATACATATAAGGTCTGTCCGTGATGGAGATAGTGTAAGATTGTCGAATGGTTGTCATGTTTGTGTAAGATGATTGTATAGAGAAGGTTGGACCAATTATGAAGTGTTGCAGGACCTTTTTAACTATATAACTGGCGGACCAATGCCCCCAGCCTCCACGGTGGGCCCCCAGTCAACCACCCCCCTTCCGCCAGTCAAGGTCCCTTTTGTCTAAAATATAAGAAGGAAGATTTGATACTCTAGTAACTGCACCTTGCTTTGTGAATCTTATGTCATATATTTTATCTTCAAATGATCCAATTTTTTTGAAAAAGCTATAAACATTATATTGTGTTGTAAATACCTTGGATTTAAAAAAAAAATTTCGGTGAATACCATATCCCAGACCCTTTAGATTTGAGTTGTTAAATTGAAAGGCTAGAATAAACAAGTTAGTGACCGAGTTGTGTTATTTACATGAACATGCCATGCAAGTACTCAACTGAAGATTCTATCTATCTACATACAGTATAATATAACACTGTTTTACCAAAAATCTGTTTCAGGAACTACGAAATGCAGTCCTGGGGGTGGAAAAAAGAACATTTTCTGGGGGGAGAACGCCCCCTGAACCCCCATATACTATTATATATAAAACCACACCAAACCTTTTGTCACCAACAACCATCTGTAATCTCTCCACACTCTATCCGCAGATGCCCCCCCCCAGCGAATTCTTAAAAAAGGCCCTGAGATGGTGTTTGTTTGTCAGATCAGGTTGTTGTCGTGTGGTGTAAGTCTGTAAGATGGTTGTCCAAACGTTTTGTCCAATGTCATTTATAAACAAATTAGTGATAAAGAATTATTGAGGAACTTTTTTGTTTTAATTGACCTAATTTTCGCATTTAAAATAATAAATTTAAAAATATGAAAATTAGGTCAATTAAATTAAATTGTTATTTTCAAATTAACTCTGACAGGTTTAATGGACAACTTGCATGTTAGACTAAATTTTAATCTAAGTAAAGAAAAGGGAATCAAACACCACAGGTTAAAAGAACATAATGAAATTAGTAAAATTGCAAAATTTGGTTGCGAAATGATATAAAGCTTGGAAAATATAGCCTTGCAAAGTTTGCTAATTTTGTATATATGTTTGTATTACGTGCGGAAATTGTTACCATTTTCTGCTCAAAAATGGTAACAATTTCCACACGTAATACAAAGGACATATACAAAATATGCAAACTTCGCAAGGCTATATTTCCCGTATTTTACAACATTTCGTAACCAAATTGTGCAATTTTACTAATTTTAATAAGTTCTTTGCGGTAATTTACTTTTTTGCCAAGATAAAAAATTAGTCTAACATGCAAGTTGTCTATCGGATTTGAGGAATTTCCCTGTCATTGCCGCCATAATAACACACCCTCCCGGAAAGGGCTCAGTTTTGGCTACAGACAGTCTGTACAGAGTCTCGTTTTCGTAATTGAGATATTGGGCCTTTAACTTGTTATAGCTAGTACGAAATCATACAGTTATATCAGTGAATATAAAAGATCTGTATAATTATGTCATTGGTAACAAGATAAAGGGCTGTAGAAACCAATGTCTCAATCACGGAAACGAGGCTGAGCTACGGCTAAGTGCTTTCCGGAATAGTGTATTAACCAATGGATTGAAAGGAAGTTGTTATATGTTTGTTCATAAAAGGTTCTTTGGTGCGGCCTGAATTTGAGACGCCCACTGATGAAGTGGGCGTATGAAATTCTGGCCAGCCAGTATCTTCTTGAAGCCAGCATTATTTATATCTGCATAGTTGCCAACCCTCCCGTATCCTGCGGGAGGCTCCCGCATTTGATCACTTTCCCCGCAAATTCCTCGCATTGACTTTTCCTCCTGCATTTTGAAAAATCCTCCTGCATTTTGAAAAGTCCTCCCGCTTTTTCCCGCAAACATAAAAAATTGTAAAATGCAAATAGCTAAATTGATATTGCAACTGTTGTTGCTGTTTCTTATTGTTTGATATTGCAACTGTTGTTGCATTTTTATTGTTATAATGACAATGTAATTGAAGATCGATATACTTTTTTTTTTCGAAATTGTGTAATTGTCTTTTGATTGACCTTTTTACAACCAGCAACTCTTACTCATCGAAGACTGGGGTATCCAGTTTTACTGTAGTATATTTACTGTGCTATAAACTCCCACATTTTTATTTTAAAAAGTTGGCAACTATGTATCTGACATTTTCTAATTTCACATTTTCTTTTTTCACATTTATGGGTGACATGAAATGATAAATTTTATGGCTTTCTCAACCTTGCGAAATTTTACAACGAATCAAAAATATTTGCCTAACAAAAGTATATACTCTTGCCCCAAATATGCGGGACATCACACATTGACACATCATGATTCTGACTTTAAATATTGTAACCAATGACAAATTCGAAATTCTCCAGACTGATTGTACGTATACTTGACTGAGCCATATCATCACCATGGAAAACGTTTCATTGCTCCAATACTTTATTTATTACACTCGCGTCAGTGGAGTTCAATACAACAAAATATTTCAAAAAAAATAATCGTTATATAATAATTGTCAGTTATACACATGGTAGCAAAAATTTGCTGTACAATATAGCCTTCCGGAAAGTACTTAGCCGTGGCTATAGAGCCTCGTTTCTGTTATTCAAGCATTGGTTTTACAGCCTTTTATCTTGTTACTGATGACATAATTATAAACAGGTCTTTTTATATAACTGTATGATTTCGTAAATATGTCACCTGTGACAAGACCCGATATCTCAATCACGAAAACGAGGCTCCGTATCTCCAAGACTGAGCATTTTCCGCAAGGGTGTATTTCAGACCCGTTTTACTATTAATGTCAACTGTAGGTGATGGTTACATTGCTAAAACTGAGTGTTCTGTATTCGTGATAGGCAAAAGAAGGAATATAGTTAGTGCTCCATATAGACGCACTGAAGTAGGGAAATGTGTTTGTTAGCCGCTGGCGTTGCGTTGGCATTCTCAGTGCAGACGGTAACTTCAAAGTGGTAGTTATATTGCCGATATCCGTCGCTTAGAGTCAACGACATAAACAAACAACTGTGATCAGAGAACGAAGAGATGAGGGGGTCATTGCATACACCGAGACATGTTTTTAGGTATTTCTATTTTCGAGTTTCATGTCGCATACAAAAAAGGATTTACGGATTTTTAAAATATTTTGAACGATTTGTGAGATTTCCAAAACCAAGGATAGTTCAAAATTAACTCTCAATTTTCAAAGATTCTTAGGAAGTGTTACAGATTTTTACGTTTGGAGTCTAGTTTAGAGATACTAAGAGATTGGCTTGTAGGGAGTTGGAGATTTTAGAGACTTTTTGAACGGTATACAACCTTGCCCTTGGAGATTTAAAGATTTTCAAAATATGTGGTTAACACTATTTCTTCACACACTGATTGATTTCAGTTTGTTTTAGCTTTCCCCTCCGCTTACAAGCAATCACCAACTTTT